CATATGGGAGTGGGCTGGTGAGGAAAGGAGCTCTGGATTTGAGACTTGGGTGTTGAACCTCTACTTGTGAGAAGGTTAGCTTGGGAAGGTTGCTCTAAGCATCAGTTTTCCCACATGTAGAACGAGAACCATCTAAAGAATGACAGCCTCCCCACTGGCTTGTTGTAAAGTAATATAATGTAGCAACCAAGAAGGTGGATTTTAGGGGTATGAGCCCTAGCCGGTCTGCCATGGTAATTGTGTTGACCTCAGTCAAGTTACCCAACTTCTCTGTGCCTCATTTTCTTTATCTGTAAGATGGGATGATGGTAATAGTATGAATCCTGTAGAGGATTTTGTGAAGATTAGATGAGTGTATATATATTTCTGCTTGTCATCCCAACTGCCTTCTGGCCTCCATGGTTTCTGGGAAAAGTATCAGCTATAAATCTTACCTTACTAAGGTCCCTTGTATGTGGTGAGTCATTTCTTGCTGCTTCCAAGATTTTGTGTCTTTATCTTTTAACAGTTCTGATTATGATATGTCTAGGTGTGGATTTGTCCTACTAGGATTCATTAAGCTCTATAAATTTTAAGATTAATATTTTTCATCAAATTTGGAAACTTGAGATGCCTGAGTGGCTCAGTAGTTGAGTATCTGCTTTTGGCTCAGGGTGTGGTCCCAGAGTCCCGGGATCGATTCCTCATTGGGCTCCCCTTGAGGAGCCTGCTTCTTCTGCTTATGTCTCTGCTTCTCTCTCTGCATCTCTCATGAATAAATAAATAAAATCTTTTAAAATTTTTGGAAACTTTTCAGCCATTATTTTTCTGCTTTGCTACTTCCTTTCTCTCTCCTGTCCTGGGACCACCATTATGTGTATATTAGTGCATTTGATATTATCTCACAGGTCTCTGAGGCTCTGTTCTTTTCTTCTTTTTTTTTTTTCTGTCTATTCCTCACATTAATCTCAATTGATCTATCTTCAAGTTCACTTATTATTATTATTATTTTTGCACCTGCACAGATCTGCTATTTAATCCTTCTAGTGAGTTTTCCATTTCAATTATTATAGTTCTCAACTCCAGGATTTCTATTAGGCACTTTATTTTCTTTTGTGTGTGTGTGTATGTTTTCTTTTTAAAGATTTGTTTATTTATTTAAGGGAGAGAGAGAGAGAGCATGAGCAAGAGGGGCAGTGGGAGAGGGAGAGAGAATCTCAAGCAGATTCTCACTGAGTGCAGAGCCTGAAGTGGGGCTTGATCTCATGACCCTGAGATCACGACCTGAGCCAAAACCAAGAGTTGGACACTTAACCAACTGCACCACCCAGACACCCCAACTGGGTTCCATGCCCAGTGCAGAGTGCAACATGGGTCTTGAACTCACACTATTAGATAATTTCTATCTCTTCATTGATAATCTGTATTTCATGAGACATCATTCTCATCTTTAGTTGTTTAGACTTTTTTTTTTTTTTTTTTTAGTTCTTTGAGTGTATCTAAAATAGCTGATTTAGGGCAGCCTGGGTGGCTCAGTGGTTTAGCGCCGCCTTCAGCCCAGGGTGTGATCCTGGAGACCCAGGATCGAGTCCCACGTCAGGCTCCCTGCATGGAGACTGCTTCTCCCTCTGCCTGTTTCTCTCTCTCTCTCTCTCTCTCTCTCTCTCTCTCTGTGTGTGTGTGTGTGTGTGTGTGTTTGTGTGTGTGTGTGATGAATAAATAAATAAAATCTTTAAAAAAATAAAATAGCTGATTTATAGTCTTTGAGACCAATATCTGGTTTCCTTAAGGATCTATGGACTGGCTTTATCCTCCTTATTTATGGGCCATACTGTTTTACCTCTTTGCATGTCTTGTGATTTTTTTTAAACTTAAAATTTAAATTTAAAGCTGAAATACTTAAACAATATAATGAGCAACTCTGGAAATTAGAGTCTCACCCTTCCCTAGGATTTGCTCACTGTTTATTATGGTTTGTTTAGAGACCTAATTAATTTTGCAAAGTCTGTTTTCTTTGTTATGTGTGACCTCTGAACTCTGCTCAGTTAGTTTGGTAATCAGCTCACATTTTGTAAAATGCGTGGACTAATACACCTCCTAGTCTTTACTGAGGGGCTCTGTGCTAAGCAGAGAGCTAAGTACTCCGCCAAGCAGCCCACATTTCTGCCTTAGCCGCCGCTTTCTGCTTTCCCACAGCCTCAAGATCAGCCTGAGGTGAGAGCTTAGGGCCTTCTTGGGCTTTCCTGTGCACCATACAGCACTGTGCATGCACATGGCCTTCTAAATTCTCAGGAATATGTTGGAGCTTTGCTTTTCTTTTTCAAAGATTTTATTTATTTATTCATTGAGAGACACCCAGTGAGAGGCAGAGACACAGGGAGAGGGTGAAGCAGGCTCCCCCTAGGGAGCCCAATGAGGGACTTGATCCCAGGATCCTGAGATCACACCCTGAGCCAAAGGCAGATGCTCAACCACTGAACCACTCAGGCATCCTTGTTGGAGCTCTTCCAAGCCACCTCTGGACATCTAACTCTCTAGCGGTTTTGGTAGCCTATTGTTTGCCGTAACTGTTGTCTACTGCCTCAGGAAATTATGCTATTAAACAATTGCTTCTAATTGTTTTTGCCAAATGCCCCCTGAGAAAAAGACTGTTTCCACTGAGTGAGCTCAGCATCAGGTCAAATAAAGACAGCCTTACAAGTGGGGACTTCCAGGGAACCACCAGGCAGATCAAATAATGACAGTTCTCTGGGAATGAGGCTTTGAATGAGATCCAGCCCCATCTGTCCCCTTTGGGGGCTAAATTTACACTGTTTGCAGGCTGTTGGTTTTCAAGGCTCTAATAGACTTGGGGAGTGGGGAACAGAAATAGAGCAAGTTAAAGCACCACAAAACTCACCATTCTGACTCAGATTCACCTGTTTTTCTTGAATAAGCACTCGCTGGATTGCTGCAAGATTCGTTAGTGTCCAGGGTTCTGAAAAGGTTTGTTCTGACCGTGTTTTGCCAGAGTTCTCATTGTCTTTATGGAGAAGAGGATTTAGGGGGATTCTTACCCTGCCATTTCTTCTGATGTCATTCAAAGTTAAAAGATGGGAGGCACTGAAAACAATATTTGGCAGATTTGTGTTTACGGTCCCTATTACTGCTATTAATAATAAGCGAGAGAACATGTATGCCCTTTCTTCCTCCCTCTAGAAAAAAGTAACCCCACAGAGCATAGGAAAGGTGGGTGGGGAAGGAAAAAGGTGTCCATCTGCAGAGAAAGGAGAGGGGAGATTGCTGGCACATGCTTTAGAAGCTTGTCAAGGGTAGGGCTGGGCTCACAAGTGTGGGAGGTATGATTCACTCTGGAGCGGGGCAAGAAGGCGTAGAGATAGACTCTGGTCAGGGTCAGGACCAAACCATGCCTGTCGGGCCTGTGCAGCTAACCTCTTGCTAGTTTGTCCCTTCCTTGTATGGACTTGCCTCGCCTCCCTGCTCATCTGCTCTATAAACTCAGCAGACTTTAAAAGGTAGGTGCCTCTGAGGACAGGTGGACGGGACCATGGCAGGGCACTCCCATGCGTGGTCCGTGGAGAATCTGCCTCCCCCTGCCCTGCCCCACCCATGGGAATTGGCTGGATGATGCATCTGTTTACGGCTGTGCTGGGCCGGGGCTGAGGAGCGCGGGCATGTGAGCTACGTGATACCCTTCAAGCACATGTCCACGTCTGTTAAAGCCCTCGGCCCGGGGACGCAGTGTTTCTAAGACAGCTGGGTATTTACGAGTCTTCCGTGTGTCCAGGGGGAATGAGCAAGGCAGGGGTTTTCTAGAGCCAGCAGGAAGGAAAAGAGGAGGAAAAGGAGAAGTAGAGGAATGGGGTTTGGGCTCCTTTGTCCCACGCACAGACTGCAAGATCTCTGGGGACTTAGCCCTGACTTCCTTGAAAGTTCAAGGAACTGGGTTCAAGGAACACCCAGTCTGATAACAGAGGGAATAATTCTGCAAGGCAGGTGGGTCCCTGTACTCGCCCTGGCCCACTGCCACCTTACGGTGCCATTTGTAAAGGCTGAAAGGGGCTTTGCAGAGCCCGAACACTGTATTTTATAGGGGGAAGCAGAGGCCGCAATGGGCTTGGTGGACCCCGGAGTCATTGGAGTGTCGTGGGCAATGCCCGCAGAGCCCAGTCCTCTGGTTCTCCACGCAGGGCTCTTTCCCCAGCGTGTTCTCTGTTCGCTATGAGTGTGGAGGGCTCCGCATTTGAAGCATAGACTGGTCACCCTAATACCACCCTGATCCTTCACGAGGAGCTCACCTCGGATGTGCGGTTCGGTCACAGGGCAGGAAATTGGGGAACGCACTGAAATCAGAGCAGGAGGACACGCATCCCAGCTCTGAGGGGTCTGAGCTAAGAGAGGATGTGCAGGTGTGACAGTTCTGACAAAAGGCGGGAGGCTCGTCTACGACCGGGCCCTGCTTTACAGATGTGTGGCTTCTGCGGTCAATCAAGGCCCTGCACACAGAAGGGACCCACACTCGGCTCCGTGCGTCACTGTTACCATCTCGAAATCCTTAAAAATATTCACAAAGAGCCTTGCGTTTTCGTTTTGCGCTATGCTGTGCAAATCTGGTGGCCGACCCTGGGGAGTGACCGTGCTGGCCGCACATGTCCCGGCAGCCTGAGGACTTAGGGCCACTGAGCCTGTCTGTGCAGGGAGAGAGGAAAGCGGGGTCACCCAGAAGGGTGGCCACTGCGGGGGCCAGGGCCTCGGGCCTGTTAGGCCCAGCTGGGTAGCCCCCTGCTCAGGGTGAAGGCCAGGAGCCTCTGCGGGACAGAAAGAGGGACAGATGCCCTGGCTTTACAAGCGGCCCTGGCCAGTAGGACACAGGCCGTTCGGATCCTCTTCCCTGGGCACCGAGGCTAGGCGCAATCTCTGCTCTGAGGCAGGGAAACCTGCCCTCTTTCCCAGCGGCACCTTTTCCAAGGGCATGAAGCAGGGCAGGAGGCAGGGACAGGGTCAGAGGGTGGGTACGTTACCCCCAGGCAGGGTGATGGGTCCGCACGTCTTGTCCTTGCTGTCAGTCATGACAATGCGCTTGGTGCAAATCCGCCAGAGGCCGAAGTGGGCCGCCTCGCAGGTGGCATTGTGGTGCTTCACCTCGGGGCTCAGCACTGCCCAGTGGTCGGTCACCACGGCCACCAAGGCCAGCACGATGCCCACCAGGATGCAGAAGAGGGTCGCGCGGACCTTCGGCGCTTTGGTCTGGGACATGGTGGTGGCGGAGGAGTGGGTGCCCTGGGCACAGTTTGGTGGCAGTGTGTCCCGCGCAGGTGGCAGCCAGGCTCGGGAGGTGACGGTGATTATCGAGCTGGGGGTGGAAGCTAAGTTTAGTGCGTCCGGCTGAGCCAGAGTGGGCTGGCCTCGGGGCTGAGGGACACCAGACGGGGCTGAGCAGCTGCCCAGACGTGTCAGGGGCCTGAGGGAGGCTTCTATTAATGCACATCCCAGGCGTGTCACCGAGGATAGCTTCTCCTCGGGTTTCAGGACTTTCTTTCCCTCCTGAGACCTAAAATACCTCAAGGAGGGGCAAGGAGAGAAGGCTCTAGATGGTGACTTGGGATCTCCACGATTAGCAGCTCAGGATACCTGAGTTGGAGGCAGTGAGGGATAGGCCACAGGGATACTAGATGTGTGGGAATGTGCTTGCTCTGGGCTGCAGGAGGAGGCGACACTGCTGGGTGAGGGCAGGGGACCCTGGGGGACACAGGTGCCACAGCCCAGCTCCCACACTGGGCAGGCGGGTCACCAGTGCAAAGGGGTGTGAGTGGGTCCTTGTCCTGGGGGTCTGGGGAATGCAGGAGCCTGCGTGGGGACATCTTGGGGCTCCTCCAGCAGAACCACCAGGGGCCCACCTCCCTGGCTTTAGCCTCAAGTCCTAGCACAACCCTAAACTGTGGGAAGATTCCTGGTGGTTCCTGGGTCTGGCATTACCCAGCACTGTGCCTGGTGTGGGAATGCTTTTTCCTTTTCAATTCTCCTCCCACCCCTTCAACTGGGCCCAGAAGGAAAGGAAGTCTTTAGCTAACCTTTCTGATGCTTGAAAATCAAAGACTAGCTTGGAGAGGACAAGGAATCTAGCTGGACCTGACTGTAGTTCTGTTTTTATTTTACTGTTTGAGTTTTACTTCTATTAACGTTTTGCCAGTTCTGTTTTCATTTACAAAATAAATATATTTAAGTTAAAAACAACAGAAGAGGGTTGGTCGGCAGGGAACTGTGAAGAGGCTGATGGTGTGTGGACACAGCAGAGGACAGAGGACAGTTTGGGATGGCCCCCAGAGAGTCCTGCGAGCCCGTGTGCCCCCCACCCCAGGCTCGAGCCCCTGGATCCCTCCTGGGTTCTGCATCTCTCTCTCTCTCTTTCTTTTTAAGATTTTATTTATTCATGAGAGACACAAAGAGAGAAGCAGAGACATAGGCAGAGGGAGAAGCAGGCTCCACGCAGGGAGCCTGATGTGCGACTCGATCCCAGGACCCTGAGATCATGACCTGAGACGAAGGTAGATGCTTAACAGACTGAGCCACCCAGGCGCCCCTCTGCATCTCTTCGTTATCAATTGACCAGTTGCCTCTTCTGGGCTCTATCCAAGAGGCTAGTGTGTGGCCAAGAATAGACCCCTGAGCTGGGCAGGGTTTTGACTTCAAAATCCCAGCCTCAGGCTGACACAGCTCACAGAAATACTCTGCCTGTGGGTGGAGAAGCACTCAGGCGTCCAGCCTTGGAGTCACAGACGGTTAATAATAACGATAATCATCGGAACAGCTCATCTTGTGTATCTACTGTATATCACGTGTTGTGGTAAACCTTTCCACATCATTGCCCCCCCCCCTTTTAAAAGATTTTATTTATTCATTAGAGACACAGAGAGAGGGGCAGAGACATAAGCAGAGGGAGAAGCAGGCTCCCTGCAGGAAGCCTGATGTGGGACTCGATCCCGGGACTCCGGGATCACAACCTGAGCTGAAGGAGCCCCTCAACCACTGAACCACCGAGGCTTCCCTCCACATCATTGCCTTTAAGCTTCACACCAATCCGTGAGGTGAGTGTGACTATTACGTCCGTTTTACAGGTAAGGATACAGAGGCCCAGACACACGAAGCAACTTGTCCGAGGTCACCCAGCAGGGAGATGGTGAAGCCAGGCTTCAGAACCCAGAGCCCGAACTCTAAAGCAATGCTTGGAGCTGGGAGGAGAGGTCAGGATCTACTGTGGCTACCGGGAGCAAAAGTATCGTTTCCTCTGCCCTTCTAAGTCCTCAGTTTAGGCTCCCATCACTAGAGAAATGCATCCAAACTTATTCCCTGTAAGTTTTCCATGGCACGGAAGCCTTGGCACGGAAAACAAAGACCCAAAGGAAGGGTTAAATCTGAGTGTTTTTATGCCAGTGGGATGAAGAGAGGAAAGTTGGTGGAAAATCTGATAGGAAAACAAGAAGCTATGAACTAAGTGCCCTAAGTTGGGGAAACAAGATCTGTTCTGACCTCTCTTGGGCTGGGGGAGTCCTGAGTGCTCCATCCCAGTAAGCAGAGCATTAAAGACGGTTGGCCTCTTCCTTTGAAGTTGTCTTTGTGTAAATCTGCCACGATGGAGGTAACTCCAGGGGTTGCAGGTGATCACCCCCTACCCTCCAACCCCCCTACCCCTTGTTTGCAAAATTTCTCCAATCAGACCTTTTCTGCTCATTGAGGCCATTGTCAGCCCCCCCCCCCGCCCCCGTGCACCTCTCCAGCACCTTGCTGGGCCAGGGCAGGGGCTCTGTGGAAGCTGGCTTTTGCTGGGAGCCAGGGCTGAGAGACATCTGTACCTGCTGGGTGGGCTCTCCCCTTTCCAGGGCAGGGGGAAGGAGGGCGTCCTGGGAGTGGGAACTAGCCTGCCAGGGATGGAGCAGCCACCTGGGCATCAGAGCCCTGCTCTGCCCTCTGGGATTCCCTCAGGTCATGGGCCTCCCTAAGCTGCCCTCCTGCGTCTCTAAATGAAGGCAGTGCTGGCCGGCTGGGGTGCTGGCCAGCATCACAGATAATGCTGTTTACCAGCTTAGCCTGGGCAAGGGGCTGCAGACAGAATTATGTTGAAGCCCAAACCCCAACGTGATGGTGTTTGGAGGTGGGGAGGTCTCTGGGAGGTGATTAAGTTAGAATGAGGTCATGAGGGTGGGCCCCTCGTGATAGGACTCCTGTGCTTAAGAGAAGAGATACCAGAAGCTTGTTCTTTTTCCCTGCCACGTGAGGACTCAGTGAGGTGAGCCCAGGAAGAGGGCTCTTACCAGAACCCAACTGTACTGGCACCCTGATCTGAGACCTCCAGCCTCCAGAACCAGGAGAAAGTACATTTCTGTTGTTTAAGTGAGGTATTTTGTGTTCTGAGCTACTAGAGTAAGCAGTCATCCAGGATGGCTGGTGATATTATTATTATTTACAGGCCACAGATGGATCAGCTTTCTCTGATGGGCGATAAGCCTCTGGACAGTAGAGACAATGAGGCCATATGACCTACTCCTTCTGGGTGCCCTCAGAGAACACCCCCAGATCGGAGCCCAGGGTGGGATCTTCATAGATGTTTGTTGAATGACTGAGGGATGGCCGGATGGACAGATGCACTAAAAGAAGGGGACGGAATCAAATAATTTATCCCACCAGATGATCCAGAGGACTTTTTAAATTTTTTTTTTATTTATTCATGAGAGACACACAGAGAGGCAGAGGCATAGGCAGCAGGAGAAGCAGGTTCTCAGTGGGAAGCCCGATGCAGGGCTTGATTTTAGGACTCCGGGCTCACGACCTGAGCCAAAGGCAGATGCTCAACCACTGAGCCATTCAGGTGCCCCCCAGAGGAACTTTCTATGTGGTTTGAGGCCATAGGGACATTAGAAATGGTAGCTTGGACCAATGGCTAATTTGCCTCAAGGTACTGAGGGACACCCCCGGAGGGCATCATCATTATCCCTGAGGTCAAATTCAAAAGGAAGCAGCCTCCTGAGAGCCAAAATTTTTTACAATCTTTAGATATGCCCCAATGAGCTAAACGGGAGTTGTCTATGTTTTATTTGTCTAAATGAACCAGTTTTCTTTTTTTTTTTTAAGATTTTATTTATTTATTCATGAGAGACATAGAGAGAGAGAGAGACAGACAGAGACACAGGCAGAGGGAGAAGCAGGCTCCATGCAGGGAGCCCGACGTGGGACTCGATCCTAGGTCTTCAGGATCACGCCCCGGGCTGAAGGCGGCGCTAAACCACTGAGCCACCCAGGCTGCCCGATGAACCAGTTTTCAATGGTCCCAAATGACTGTTCTTTTTCCAAGAAGGACCAGACACAAGTAGGGGAAAGAAAACGTCTCCCAGAGGTGGACCTCATTCCGAGCTGGGGCTACAGCCCACCTGGGAGGGTGCTGACTAAATCTTCCTTGGCAACATGCTGATCTAATTTTGAGCTCAGCCTTAATTAGGCTGCAGCATGGCCTTGAGCGTTTGATCTTAAGATACTCTAAAAAAGCATGGTGCCACTAGTTGGTCCAACCTCTTTACACCACTTTATCTGCTTCCCTACACTGTTCAGCTCAGACCTTCTGCTGCATCGGGCTTGCTGCCCCCAATTCCATCCTCTGAGTCCAGCGGACCAGGAGCTCTTCCATCATCAAGGCCGAGGATGGCGCCACTCTGACCTCTGCTTCTGTCATCATGTCTCTTTCTCTGACTGCTGCTTCCCTCTTTCCCTTAGATGGACTCTTGTGATGACACTGGGTGCCCCCCCCCCCAGACAATCCAAGAAAAGCTCCCCATCTCAAGATCCTCGTTTTAATCATATCTGTGAAGTTCCCTTTGCCACATAGAGTGACATCTTTGCAGATTCCAGGGATTGGGACTTGGACATCCTTGGAGGCCACTGTCTGGGCACACGTGTTGATTAACAATTTGCTTGATTTTCTCTGGCCTCCAATTGCAGCTCAGATGCAGGAGAGGATGGAAGGTGAGAAGAAGAGGGTTGGGGTCTTCCAGGAGGGAAAAGAGGTCAAGGGAATGGGAGGCGTTGGCAAGGATGAGTTTAAACGATGATTTTTTATGGCCCTGCTACCAGGAGGGTCAATGTATTGGGGGAATATGGAGCAGTCAAGGCCCCCAGAGGACTTGAGAGGTTGGAGAACAGGTAGGGGGTGGTAAGGGAGAGAAGGGGTGGTCAGAGAGGAGACACTGTCCCAGAAGATTATGGGGCAGAGGGGGGGCAGACAGGGGTGCTACCAAGATCCAGGTGGGCGACAAAGGTCATTGGGCTAGAAGGAAGGAGAACTGTGGGACCAGGGAGTTGGGGTGGTTG